TTTCAAAATGTAATCAATAGTCCATCAAATACACTAATAAACACAAGTAAAAGACAACATTGGAATAATGATGTTACATACCATAGGCGAAGAGGCCAGGGAGCTGGTACACCTGGCGTCCAAAGAGGTTTCTTCCCAGAGTAGGCGGAAGTGGCTCATGTCCCACCTAAGAATAAGGTATATGAGAGTAAATCAAAGGCCAGTAAACATTGAATAATTAGTATCTAACAGACATAAGGTGCGACTTATGGCATGAAAATTTGAATGCGGCAGAAACACTAAATGATCAGCTATAAGGCCCTTAAAGATTACACAAATCTACCAAAAGTGAAACAGTCTTTTACAGCAGGGGTCTCCAACCCCATTCACTTGGGGGCCACTGGACACATTTTCTTCCGCCGCTTGCCAAATTTAATAAAATGTAATATTTCAAAACAAAATATACCAGTACCAGTACCAGTGTTAACACACACACACTTTTTGGGTGATTTGGAACACCAATTAAGAACCAGGACTTCTCAGCCAACATCAGTACCTGACCTCAGTAAAGCTCTTTTGGCTGAATGGGAACAATAAGCCACAGGCACACTCTAAAATCTTGTGGAAAGCCTTCCTGTTATAGCTGCAAAGGGGGAGGCAACTCCATATTAATACCTATGGGCTTGGAATGGGAATTTCCAACGAGCAATATATCTGTAAAAGCGAGTAGTGATGTTGGGAGGAACCACGGAGCACACTGGTGGACAAAGAAGATCCACCCTCCTGGATGGTTTGCGAAAATACTTTTTTCAGGAGATGACTGCTCTCCAACCACGTCATTCAGTGGCGTGGGCAGCGGGAGAGGTGAGCAATTACTAACTTCTTTATTAGGTATATATTTTATTCAATAGTTTAGTCACCTTACAGGAAACCTTTTTTGATATGATCGTTAAAACTGACTTTGACAACCTCTCATTCTATAAAAGTCTTCAGTCTGCTACAGTCTTCAGTAGTGGAAGTCACCAACCCAGGATAAGCCAGATGGCCAGAATAACAGTTAGGAAACTAGCATTAGAAAAGAAGACATCGATGATAGCCCCCAAGGTTCTTTTTATAAAGGTTTAGTTGAATAAAAACAGGATGGGAATATGGTTTTCCTGAAATTTCTGCTTATAGTCACTCCTCATAGCCAGTATTGGAACAAGTGCCAAGAAAAAGTTAATTGATGGGTAAGAAAACCAAAATGTGTTATATATAGTCTCTTTCTACCATCTGCCAAATAAAGAAAACCTACAATATCCGTCACTGTAACCTTTTCAAGGACAGAGGTGCAGTTTTCAATAGTACAACCCAACTTCTAATAAGCACATTTTCCTTGCATTGATTGCTCACACAATCCCTGCATTTGTTGTCTACATGAGGAAGAATTGGTCAACTAAAGAGATGTTTATTAGGTCAGTAGTCAGCATGTGAGGGGTTAAAGGCATAATTATGTGGTGTACTACATTCCACTACGTCAACATCCATGGCTGCGGAAGACAGTAAGGAAAAAAACAGAAAACATCAGACAAGACCTCTTACTCAGAGAGCAGAAGGACAAGAGACATCTTCTACAAGGCAAGACCTCTTACTCAGAGAGCAGAAGTACAAGGGAGATCTTCTACAAGGCAAGACCTCTTACTCAGAGAGCAGAAGGACAAGAGACATCTTCTACAAGGCAAGACCTCTTACTCAGAGAGCAGAAGGACAAGAGACATCTTCTACAAGGCAAGACCTCTTACTCAGAGAGCAGAAGGACAAGAGACATCTTCTACAAGGCAAGACCTCTTACTCAGAGAGCAGAAGTACAAGGGACATCTTCTACAAACAGGTACTGTGATCATAAAACAGATTTTTGTATAGGAAACCAGAGTTATGACAGACAAAAGGTCAGTTATGGCCAGATGAAGAAAGGATTGCATGTTTCACCTAACCTTGAAGGATATCTCCTGGCCAAGCCTCCTAAGTAGTAAGTCCACTAGTTGTGTTAACTATTAACAACAATGTATCTTATTTGTAGATCCTCAAATCATCTCTGAATTGGTGCTGACACTGTCCTTCCTTCTGGAGGGTGGCTACTTTTGTTCCCCATGGTCCCTGTGTGTGTTGTAAAGTAGCCACCGCTCCAAGCTCACTTCTGTGATGGACTACAATCTCAATACAAATTAGTAAACTAAACACGAGATCATAGTCCATCACGGGAGTGAGCTTGGAGCGGTGACTACTGTATAACACACAGGGACCATGGGGAACAAAAGTAGCCACCCTCCAGAAGGACAGTGTCAGCAGCAATTCAGAGATGATTGGAGGATCTACAGCCGAGTGATACACAAAATAAATTTTTGTTAATAGTGAAGGTACTTGAATTTGAAAAATACTTGTATTTTTAAGGTTTAACTCCCAGGTTTAGTGTCGCTTTAAATTGGGTGAAGTGGGACATATTAGAATATATACCTGGAGTTTAGCTTTAGATGTCATCTTGTGAGATTTGGGCTACTCATCATTTTTTGGGACTTTGTCGGAAGCCGTGTAATGTCACCCCCTGCAGTACGGAACCACGTATATTTATTCGCTTTTTTTTCCTACATTTTTCCCCCCAGATATAGAAGAATCCGGGTTTGTTTTTCAACAGAAAATCCCCACTTTCTGCCAAATATTTGAAATGAACAAGCCTTTGCTCCTCACCCTGGTCTTCACATGCTACACCCAATATCAGATGCCTGGAAGTTGTACCAACACTCTGGCACGTCAAAAACGTGGTGTGCTGGATTTGGTGGTGACCCTTTGGTGCTACAGAGAAAGACTCAAAGTTCCCTTGTTGGCCATCAACCTATATGGGTGTTACTGTGGAACTGGTGGTTCAGGAAAACCAGTTGATGCCGTGGATCGATGCTGCCTGCTTCATGACTGCTGTTACCGCTACTCGAGGCTGGATCTGCAATGTTACAGCAAGATTAAGTGGGAGTTGTATCACTTCTCCTGTGGTCAATCCCAAACGGAGTGCAAATCGTCCACGTTATGTGGCAGGATGGCGTGTGAGTGCGACAAGCAGTTTGCAGAATGTCTGACAAAGGCGAAGGCAAAGAAAAAACACTTCTTCTACAACAGGAGAGACCTCTGTGTGGGTCCTCATGAAACTTGTCCTCATATGCCACCAAATGTGACATCTGCGTGGCCCTGGACGCAAAACTTCACCAACCTGGCAAAGGTCACCGGTGTGAGTGAGACAGACAGAGCGAAGAGCAGGAAGAAACGATGGAAGAAGAAGAAAAACAAGATTGTGAAATGGAAGGATCCGAAAGGAACACCACTCTGGATATAATCTGGGTGTCTGTTAAGGTGGCCATGCACCTGCCGATTATGGTACCATAATCGCAGGTGATCCCGCGATCGTACGATAATCGGCAGGTGTATGGAAGGCGTGCGACCGTTTCTACTGTACGGTCGCACGTCTTTTGTCTCCCGAGCAGGCTTGAAAACCCGCCGAGAATCCTACGATTGTAGGCGGGTTAGAGGCTTTCTCGGGAGACAAATGCTGCACGGGCCGGTGTGCTTAAGTGCACACTGCCCGTGCGACATTGAAGTCATCGGAAGCCCTCCCCTAAGCGGGGCGGGCTTGCGATGATCGGTAGTACAATCTGTCTGTCCAAGATGGGCAGATCGTACGAGCTTTTAATTGCTTTACAACCATCGCAAGACGAAAGTCGTGCGATGGTTGTAAAGTGTATGGCCAGCTTTAGTGACCGGTAGAGCCGAGGAGGCAGCAGAATGCATTACACTGCAAGATTCAAAGCCTAGTGCAAGTCAATTTTAGCCCCTCCGTTTATCTGCGTCATCAGTGATTGCAGTAGCAAAACAATTGCCCAAATTCTGCTTGCTTTTTCAGCTCTCCCCTTATATAATGACTGAACAATGACGAGATCGTCCCTGTGCTTTGCCCTCCTGTACACTAGTTCCCCGTGTCAGACTGAAAACCCTGTGCAATGGAAAGCTTGCAACTGGGCAGCTGGCTTAGATTGCTTCCTCCCTCACTCTGTTTAAATCCCAGTGTGCAGTGAAATTGGGGAAGTCAATTCAGATTTCAGTTACTTATACTAGCAGCATTTAAAAATAAAGAGTTTTGCTTTAATTGAGGGGAATACATGAACTCAAGTCATTTCCTTTTGTGGTGTGCACCCCATTGAACAGATTTCCTTCCAATCTTGCAGACGCAGTAAGAGGAAATCCCCTAATATACAGTCGTGATCAAAACACATGTCCTCACTCCTGAGACTCTTTAACTCCTCATTCTGGCATCAACTGTAAAATTTTGGATTTCCTATGGCCAAGGTTTGCACTGGATCAGTGGAGCATGCCAGACAACTTAACTCAGGATTTGCATTCAGCATGCATTTGGGTCTGGAGGCCACCAGAACCAACATTCTGGTGTTGCCTGTAGCAAACACTACAACAGTGCAAGTCAGAACTCTGGGGTAACCTTTTTATCCCAAAGTTCTCTTTAGGGTCACGGGAGGACATATACTAAGCAGGTCCCGTCACCCAAAGCTCAGTATATAGCAAGCTATATACTGAGAGTGCCGCAGCCGGGACGGATCCTGACAATACTGTCGAGATGCACCCAGCTGGCTGATTGACAGCGGGCTCTGCCTATCTACAGGCAGAGCAAGCTGTGCCCGCCCCCTCCTCCAGTCAGCACTGGAGGATCAGGGAGGGGGAATGCCTGCGGGGAGTGGTGAGTGACAGATACTGCTCTCTGCAGGGAGATGATCGGAAAGTGAGCGAGCAACAGTATGTGTTCGCTCACTTGCCCCATCTATAGAGCCGACGTGTGACAGTTTCAATGTCACAGGTCAGCTCTAACTATGAGGATGAGTGGAAATCACTTACCTCATAGTTCTGCTTCAATCTGAGTTCTATGCAACCCAATGCAGCCAGAATACAGACAGAACCTCACAGGACCGCCTGATCTACCTGCAGCATAAGCTCTGCAACTTCCCTTCTCTCTGCTTCTACTATCACCAGCCACGTTTAAACCTGCAAGGTAGGTTTATACCTTACTAGTGGCTGTTAGGAGACCCCCAATTACGGACATTTCGTAAAGCCCAACTCCAGGTACATTGATTTTTAAATTTTTAGACAATTATCTTC